TGTTCCAGTTGTTTTTGGATAATCTTGAGTAGAATCTTGCTTGCATGTGAAATCAATCATATTGTTCTGTAGTTTCCACACTCAGTTGGGTCGCCCTTCTTTGGGATGGGAACAAATATTGACCTCTTCCAGTCAGTTGGCCAAGTGGTTTTTCTCCAGATTTCTTGGCACAACTATATATATAGGTATGTATATTTATGTGTGCATATAAAGAAGTGGCCATGTTGTTCCTGGTTTGGCTGGCTCCTCCCAGGCTCGTGGGAAGTTCTCCTTGCCAGAAGGCAGGAGTGTGATGGTGGGAGTGCAGGAATCGTGGCAAGCTTTTGGAGTGGACTGCTTTTCCGGGAATGTGTTTGACGTGCAGGTTTGTTCTGTCCCTGGAGTGAGGCTAACCAGCCTGGGCCTAGGGTTTGAACCAGGAGGCGGCCTTAAGCCCAAAGGGTCAAATTGTCTTCCTGTCAAACATTCTTCTAGGTGGTATAGCACTGGTCTGTTCGTTGCTGTACAGAGGTAACTCGTGGTTGCTGTGATGCGAAAGCCTGTGACAGTGATGTGCCAATCGTGGTAATGGGCACGCATGGTGGACAGTGTTGGCTGGAGCTTCCCAACTAAATCAAGCCTGGAAGCAGGAGCGACATCCACTTCCAAAATGGCTTGCCTCCGGAAACTCTATGTACGAACAGTGCTCAGGCTGTTCGTTCATAGGGTCACTATGAGTCGTCTACGACTCGACGGCATTAAACAACAACAATAACAACAAAAACATACGTATATGTGTGCGTATATATGTATATACACCCCAAGATCATTTATCTGATTCCAAATAAAAAAGAAAAGCTTTTTCATTATACATCAATGAAGTGCAACGTTAAAAGTTTCTATTTTGGAGTTCATTTATCAATTCTTCACTAAATATATCAGCAATGAAACTATAAAAAATGTGCTAGTTAAAGCTTCTTTTAAAGTGTATTTTATTTCAAATGGATTTATTAAATAAGACTTAGCTTTGCATACTCTCAGGAAGCTTTATAAAAAATGGATGAGGTGAGAGATCTCAACGAAAATGGTGGAATGGAGAATTCCAGGGCTCAGTGCCTCCACTAAGACAATAAATAAGCTGTCAAAAAGCATTCATAATTAATTTTTGTAGAACAACTGGAAGAAAGAAGAAGGAAGCCATCACAATATGTTATGGGACCATAGCATCCATGCTCCAGATTGGTGGAGGTGACAAAGATGGAGCCAATACAACCAGTGCAGTTTTCTAATACCAGAGGGCAGATCTTAAAAGAATCACAGTCAGGTGGGAGATCTGCAAGGACAGCGGAGGGAGTGCCGGGCCTGGGCTTGTGACCCAGCCTTCCCAACCCCCTCTGCCTACAATCTGCAGGTACAGACTACAGTTCCCAGAGGTCTGTGGGGAAACACCATCTTTGTAAACTTTAACTTTGGTGGGAAATCTGCAAGGACAGTGGAGGGAGTGCTGGGCCAGGGCGTGTGACCCAGCCACCCCACACCCATTTGGGCCCTGGGGCCTTCGGCCCTCAGGTCAGGAAGACAACAATATATGCCACGTCTATAAGATTTATCAACCTCCCTAAAATACTCATGTACCATTGAGGATTATGTTACATGGGGAATCAAACTGGTTTCTGGCCTGAGTATGTAGGGCCCACTAACTCAAACAACTGGGAGATCCTTAGCATATCCAAAGAGTGGGGAAGCTATTCCAGAAAGGGAACAACAGACTTCCTCCTTCATTATTTAGGTTCTCCTGAGGCCCCCCACGTGTATCAGTGTGCGCTTCCTCTCTCCCCACTCACGTGAGCGTTGGAGTGTGCACG